CCACCCTGCTCTCAAGTCACAGCAGGACTAAAAATATCCTCTCTCCTTGAGGCCTAACAAGGCAGGCCAGGTAGGGAAAAGGGATCCAAAGGCAGGTCATAGAGCCAGAGACAGTCCCTACTCCCATTATTAGGAGACCCACATGTTGACCAGGCTGCATGTCTGCTACATATATGTAGAGGGTTTAAGTCCACCCCGTGAGTGCTCTTTGGTTGGTGGTTCCGTCTCTGTGAACCAGCGTGGGCCAGGTTAGTTGACTCTGTAGGTCTTCTTGTGGTGGTGTTCTTGACCACTCTGGCTCCCTCTGTCCTTCCTTCCACTCTTCCACAAGGCCCCCTTGTTTAGCCTATTCTTTGCCTGTAGTTCTCTGCCTCTGTTTCCATCAGCTGCTAGACAAAGCCTCTCAGAAGATAGTTATACTAGGCGCCTATCTGCAAGCATAGCAGAGTATCATTAATATTGACAGGGTCTGGTGGCTCTCAAATTGGGCTAGTCATTTGTTTGCCATTCCCTTGATCTCTACTCCATCTTTATCCCTACATTTCTTGTAGGCAAGACAAATTTGGGGTGAGAGGTTTTATGGGTGAGTTGTTATCCCCCTCCCTCTACTGGGAGTCTCACCTGGCTACAGGAGGTGGCTACTTCAGGCTTTTTAACCCCAACTACTGGGAGTTTCAGCTGGGGTCACCCCATTGACTGTTGGGAGCCTCTTTTGTCCCAGAGATGCCACCCATCCACCCCACCCCTACCAATTTCCATTCTCTCTCCCTCTCTCAGTCCTCCCTCCACCCCAGTCCTGCTCTCCCCAACCTAATCCCTACCCCTGTTACCCTCCCAAGCCTCCTCTTCCACCCAGTTTGATTTCTCTTTCAAGAAATGAGAGGAGGCAAGAAGCTTCAACCACACTGGTGTGTGCTTGCTACATACATAATACCTGGAACAGGGATGAATGCTTGTAATTCCAGCACACTGGGAGCAAAAGTAGGAGAGTCACAGGATCAAGGTTAATTCTCAGCTATATTTCAACTTTGAGGCCATCCTGGGAAATATGAGACCCAGTCTCAGAAAGGAAGAAAGAGGTGGGGGAGGGATGGAGGAAAAAAAAAGGGGGAAGGAGGGAGAGTGGGAGAGAGGGAAATGAGAAAAGGAGAGAAAGAGAGACGAAGGAAAGAAGAAAGGAAAGAAAGGAGGAAGGAGGGAAGGAAGGAAGGAAGGAAGGAAGGAAGGAAGGAAGGAAGGAAGGAAGGAAGGAAGGAAAGAGGGAATGAAGGAAGGAAAGAATTTGAATCAACCTAGTAAGGCACCTTTCAGCACTCAGAAAGATTCTATGAATTTATCCATATCTGAGTAAAAAAATAATAAAACTAAACTTCAGCCTGGCCTACTGGCCAGGGTAGCCTGAAGAAAGACACACAAACAAGTTACTTAATAAAATGTAGGCTTGTACCTGAATCAAGTAATCCCCATTATTTACCGGTTTGTTTTGCATTTACTTAACAACAGGTTTTAATAGATATTAGGAAGAAAATATTCAACGCATACACATACACACAACAGGCTAATACTGTTGAGTTTAAGAGGAAAATCAATTTAACAATTAACCAGTATCATTAGAAATATAAACACATCCTTGTCATTAAAGTGTTCAAATGTGCATACAAAAAATAAGGCAACTTTATGATCATGTTTTATAGCATAAACTATCCCAACTTTTGGTATTGACAAATGTCCCCATTTAATTATTTACTTCACAACATGTTTGGAGGTCTTTAAAAAATGTCTACAGCCTCTAGTTTACTCATGTAAAATGCTATGAATATTACATTTAAAATAATTTCCCACTGTTTTTCTTTTAAGAAAATATTCTCGCTTGCAGAATTCAAACAACTGAAATTCTAAAATACATGTCTGCTTTTCAAAAATCACACTTCATAAAGCGCATTTACTCTATAGAGTTAAACTTTACCAAATAACAAATCTAACTTTAAGTGATAGACATTGTCAAAAGCATTAATATCAAAGCTGACAGCTCGTCATGGTTTTACTTCTTTGGAAACGGAAAAGAAGAAGATGATCAAGTAAAGGCAATCTCACTTTTGATTTTCTTCATTTTTGTCTATTTGTCAAAAACAACAATTTAAATATTTATCTTCAAATGTTAATGTTTTCTGGTTTATATGAAAGTATAAAAAAACAATTCTTTCATGCATGATATGAAACAACAGAGACCAGAGTGCCTTATTTGTAGCAAATTTTATTTCAAATAACCATTAAAAGGTATCCAGGTACTCTTCCGAGTAACTTATGAGATCATGCATGGTGTAAACAGAAAAGTCCAAAGGAAAGAAACATTCCCGATGGTTCTAACAAGTGAGCTGAAGGGACAAAGAAACAGACACCAGAACTTTTCTATCCAGGGCTGATGCCTGCATCTTCATCCCTGTCTGTTACTTGACATTTCAGCATATGATAAAATGTAATATAGAGAAGCAAAAATCAACAGTCCAGGAGAAGAGAAACTTGCCAGTGGGATACATGTTTGTGGTGGTTAATTCTTTATCACTGTTCACAGAGAAATGTAGCAAGCAGGAGATGGTTTCTGAATGAAACATCTAGTTTGCAACACAGTTAACAAGGAAATAAATCCTGGCAATCATATTGCTGCTGCTTACATCCTATTCAGAGATCTCCTTGAGCATCATGCACAGTTCTGAACTTTTTTCTTTTTGCTACAACATCCAGTCAAATAAAATAGAAATGCTCCCAGAAGACATTAAAAAGAATATTTTAACTTGGTGTTTTATTTTAAAAATAAAGGAAATCATATTAATTTCAAAAGTATTACAAAGACAAAATAGGTATGACTAAAAAAACACCTAAAAATCCGTAGTAAAATCTAAAGAGATTAAGCTCCATTTTTTTTACATTGCCTGTAAAGCAAAGAATTATACATCAGAGATTTGTTGTTTTGTTGTTATTTTTCATTTCAGTCTTCAGAATTGACTTCCCATTACTAGAAATAGAAAATAGACTCACCCACAGGCCAATACAGACCTTCTCTATATGCAAAGTTTCAAAGAAAATGCAACATTATTTCCTTAGTTTAGACTAAGCCACAGTGTTCTTACTGTATCGTGATGTCTAGTGACCGTAGGTATAAAAGGTGTTAAATCTCCTTGATAGTTCATAATTTTCCTACACGTGAAGAAGCTACTGTGCTAGTAACACAGTTAAAAATGAAATAACAAAACTCTATTCAAAGCGCTTTATTTTTATAACAACAGCATTATCTCTTGCATTTCCTTAAAAGCCTAAAATGATAAAATGCCGTGTTTCTGTCCCAGCACTTCCCACTTCTGATAATTCATACCACAGCTTTCTTTGCAGACATACTGCAATAGAAAACAATGCTATTTTAGATGTGGCTAATAAAAGAGACGTCGACTCTGAAAACTGAACAGCAAATTCCACTGGGATTCAGCTAAGTAAAGCTATTGACTTTTTAGGTAATGAAAATCACCAAGGCTTTAAGAGTCATGTGCTTTGGTTTCTCTGTTATGAAGTTTTGCCCTATTTGAAGTATCAAAAGCCTACCTACTATGTGAGTCAGTATTAGGGTGGTATTCAACCGCGGTTCACAGACACTGTCGGTAAGAATTTGTGTGCCTAGGATCAGTTTGTCAGAAGTTACACTCATCTAGGCATTTGGGGAGGTAGAAGCTACACAATCTGGTGCCCTGAACCCATCTAAAACATCCTCAGTCTTCTAGTCTACACCAAGCAATCAATCTGCAGTTGCCAGGCTGAAGACTGCCATCCATCACAGGAAAGTGTGTTGGACTTTCCAAGTCTGCTACACGTGATTTTTCCTCTTCCCTCTCACATAATTAGTGTTCTTTTCCTCTCCTTTAAAAACAAATGTGCCTGTTTCAAATTTGTATTATTTTTTTCAGATGTCTAATTTCAGCTACGTTTTTTCTCTCTTTGGTCTCTTCCCGAACTTCACATACCAGACAAATAGTTAAAAGTCTGCAAAACCAGGCAAACTTCCAGATATTTCAAAATGAAACTGCCCTCTAGGTGACAGAACAGGAAAAGAAGGCAAAGCTTACAGGACCAAGATTTCAACACTCTGGCTGAAAATGGGTTGGAAAATCCATTCAGGCTGCAAGCGTCATGGATGAAAGCTTGATGAGGCAGAAACATCCAAGGGACTGACAAAACCAACATGTTCCATGGTCACTCAGAGTAGTCCACTTGTCATGGTGCATTCTGGGTGCATTGTGAGTAAGTTGGTACCTGTCCTTTAAACTTTTTCCCCCCCTCTTGTTTGCCATTCAGGAAGTGAGAGTATTTGAGAAAACATTCAAAATTCTGAGAATAAATATAGGTGAGTTTTTTTTTTTTTATGTCTGTCATTTGTAAAACTTACATCCTTTACATAGGGATTATTTGTAGGTAATAAAAATTTCATAAGGAATTTTTTTTTCTGGCAAGTATTCTATATGCTAATTTGTTTAACATGTGCTTTGGATATATAGCTAAGGAAGGGTAGCTTTACAAAATTCTTCAAGTATTCCCTCTAACAGTGAAAGGAGACCTCCTCCCTAAATAATTGCTCTTCTCTCTCATTGATCCTTTGTTTCTGATACCATATGCAACCTGAAGTACACAAAGATCAAAATGTCACCGTTCAGAATATACTCATATACTTCAATAAATTTGTTCATTGCATAGTGAACATGTAAACTCACAGAGAATCTATAAATGTTACCATACAATCTAAAAAAAGGGTTGCTGGAATCTTACATAATAATTTTATTTTTGTTTTATTCTTGTTATAATTTGGGCTTACTCTTTTATGTTCATCCATGTGTCAACTAAATATAGTAAGTGAAAACAAGCCATAAAAAGTTAAAATCAAAGAAAACAACTTCACCTGATTCTCTAGTCTGGCCCTTTGTTCCTGGGCATAAGAGGCTGCAGGTGTGCTGTCCTGCTTCTTTCATACAGTGTTCAAAATCAACTTCAACAGTGTGTGCTTAACATAAAGTTAACTATGTTTGCATCAAGTAAAATGTTTATTAATGAAAGCTATTTATCATACAGGAAACAGCAAGGTCATCATTACAGAGGTGTACACTGGAAGTGACAGATGCAAACGTGCATGCAGAGCCTTCTGGTTAAAAAGGAAGTATAGACAATAATACTAAAATTACTGGGTTTGATCCCTATCCTCTCGTTAATGAGTAAATGTTATTCTTTGAATTTACAATTGGAAAAATGCCATTAACAGATAGGACTGATACACATTAGCAAGCAGATGAAATGGATGCTTTTGGACTTTATTTTACAGCTATTTTGCTTGACAAATGTGTGGAATTGTTTCGATAATAATTTTCTCCAAATGTGGGGAGGGCGTATTAGTGCCAGGTTGCTCTGGGTTTAGCCACGATTTATCTCGTTCTTTTGTTAAACCACATGAGGCTAAGCCTTCATTTGCGTCAGACATCATAAAAACAGAGGTTTTGCTAGCATTCAATAAATGACACTTAAGTCTCACTCTCTCTTTCTCTCTCTCTCTCTCTCTTTCTTTTGGTTCAATAAACTTTTAAATGTATGATTATCATAACCTAATAGTGTCTTTGTCTTCACTGCAGTGGATTTCCGATCAAACTTTTCCCCTTCTTTTAATACTTTAGGGAATTTTCAAACGTCGGGATGTTTGGCTGTAATGCCCCAAGATTTGTTCTCCCTGAAAAAAAATCATAGTGACAATTTATTAACTACAGAGCAACTTGGCTTTTAGGGGTCTGCAATTTCTATTTAGTTTTACAAATATCCACTTGTGCTCAATAGACCTGCTATTAAATCTTAATCATCTTTAAGGTTTCTTTTCATGCAACTACAGATATGCTAATTTATTTTTATTCTAAAAATTGAACTGAGTCAAATCATTGGGGCATTTCTTTTATTATAAGCAAGAATATTTAAGGGTAATTCAAGATTGAATCACATTTTATATACAATGGTGTGTGCATTTAATATGAATCAGAAGTTTGGAAACCTAAGAACTATTTGTTTGATTTTTTTTAATTGCACAGCTATTTCTTAGCTTTTACACAAAGATATTGAAAACATACTAATACAAGTTAAACTTAAATAAAACTGGTGGGAAATAAAACTCCTTAGATTCGAAATGGTTTATTCACACAAATTTAATAGGATATATCACAATTGTTTGGTCCATAAATATTTAGGGGAAATAGTTTCTATACAATGCATTTATCAATAAACAAAGAAACATGGACAATTTTGCTAGACCACTTACTGTACTATAAACACGAAGCTCAATATATAAGATTATTGAATTTATCAACTATATTTGAAAGAGTGCACAACTGCTTTCTATGACATGTTTACCCCTCTAACAGGATACACCATAAAAAGAGTTTCAGAAATAAGAGGTAAAACAGTACAAAACTAGTGAGGTGTCAAAAGGGCTTAAAACAGTTAATTTAACAAACAACACATATATCCTGATTTTTCACAAACTTACTTCCAAGTTATATCATAAGGCACATAGGAGAACTGAGTTATAATTAGTCTACTTAATAAAGTAGGTCCGTAGTACCATATATTGTTCTGTCAAAGAACAAAATTTATAAGTATTGATATTTTACCTGTAAAAGTGTGTTAATAAGATCTCAGCCTTACCAAGGTTGTTTGGTCTGGTTAGTGGTAAATGCCCAAAATGTAAGAGAAATATGAAAAGTCAAGATTTAAGCTCCATAGAAGATGACCACGCTTGCGAAATATATAATGGCGATCACACTTTTCTTCTGTTACAGTGTTAACTTCTCTTCCATCATCTTTTTTTTTTTAAAAAATAAGCTACTTTCTGTGCTAATTTTCTAAAGACCCTGAGCAAAAGTTACAATAATGCACTTTAATGTGGGCAGTGAACTGTCGATATGTAACCACACATTTACACAGCCAGAAGGGCACCTTTAAAATCTATTAAGTAGCCACTTCCACCACCAGAGGAGATTTAAGGGGTGCAAAAAAGTGGGCAGCATGTGCAAAGTTATTCTTAACAATTCAGTAAAGCAAGACATAGATCTTGACTTCTTTCTTTATTATTTTAGGAAATCCACAATCTAGTTGGTTTTTTAACTACAACAGAAGCAGATAGATGAACATTCACCACTGCCCAGACCATTAAGATTTCACCTTAAATTAAAAGAAAAAAAAAATGCTACTGTAAACTAGGAAATATATTCAGCTCTACACCCACAAGGCTTCTGAGTTTATCTACTTTAAGAGTCATACTTTCACATCTGTAAAGATAAAAAGATTTCATACATAAATCAACCCGTGACAAAATAAAATAAAGAAAAACCAAATAATTGTTGGTATTTGTTTACTAAGTTGGTTTAAAAAAAAATAAGAAAAGACATTATGTAGAATGCCAGATACAATATCATGGTACAGCTGAAGCCAACTAATTAAATTATGCCAATTATTTTTACTTCTTAAAAAATTATATTTTGCTTATTTCCATTTCTCTAGGAAAAATGTTAAAGTAGAAAGAATAGTTTCAGAGAGGCTGGCTGAGTTTTCTCCTTTCTTATGTTTTAGAAGGTCAATATAGAATTTCACTTTAAAGTGTAAATTTCACAGATACACAAGGAGTTTAAGGTTTGGTTTTGTTTTGTTTTTTAATTTTGAATAACAGTAAAAAGTTAGGGGGCAGTTGTACAACCCTAACATCAGGAAAAGTTACATTAAAAGTAACTTTAAAAGTCAATCATTACTTTTTAAAATTGATATTAATGTTTTTGTTTAATCATATCCTTCACTCAAATTAACAGTTCAAATTTTAAAAATACAGTAATAATACATTTGTTTTTAATTTTTTAATATGAAAAAATTTAGTTATAGGATTCAAAAAAAAACAACTAATTAAGTGTCTGGTTAATTAATAACCTAATCACAGAAACAGGAATATAATTTGCCCATCATAATACCATTTTTTTCCTCCCTTCGAGATTCTGGAAATAAGTAACATACAATTTTAAGAGGCACTTATTAGAATGATTCAAAATCTCCCCTTACCAACTGAAAAAAAAAAAAACTGATTAAAGAAAAAAGATCAAATACATCTTGTAGACAAAATACGTTCACTTAAAAGCGACAATACTGTAAACTCATAGCCAAGTGGTGCAGAGGTACACACCAAGCTGCTATTTGATTCCCCAAATATCTTGTGGGTTAGAAGAAAAAAAAAAAAGTCTTGTAAATAATAAAATAATAATATTAGAATAATAATAAAAAGAGGAAGAATCCTTTAAAAAAAAACCAATGTTAGAAAAGGTTTGTTAAGGTAGTTTGTGAGGGGCTTCCGGATTCGTGGCTGTCCGTGTTAGAGGTCACAGCTGTCACTACAGTGACAGTGGGATTGGTCAGGTCTGTTAAAGTGGTCGCAGTGCCGGGTGGAGGGAGAGCGCCGCTGTCTGCTGAGGGCGGGGCCGGAAGCGACGTGCCGTCAGCTTTATCAACACCCCCATTCTCCTGCCGCAAAAGGTTCCTTCTGAATTTGGCTCGTGCGTTTTGGAACCAAACCTGCAAACCAATCCCAATTGATTTCTTTATCGATTTTTTTAAGTTCTTTTCTCTCTTCTTTTCTCTCTCTCTCTCTCTCTTTTTTTCCTTTTCTTTCCTCTATTTCTCCTTTTAAATATTTTTTTTTCTTGGAAAGAAAGTGGACTTTTTCTACTTCTTTCAAATAAAGTAATTCAAGTAGTAGAATAGATTTGTTCTCTCTTAATTGTACATATTCCTGCATTAAATGCGCCACTTCGGATAAGTGATGCTGGAGCAAAGACACCACAGAACAAAGCCATGGAGACTAGGGGAAAGTAAACCATCCCCAGAAAGAATAGGGGAAAACTGGGTCACTAAAAATGTCTCAAAGCAGGAACTACTCACTTGTAGGGGACAGCAGAGAGCTTAAGCTGTTTGCTAGTCTGACACCAGGCAAATGATCCACAGATAGTAAAACTCTTCCCAGCCACAGACCCCAAACAGCCAGAGAGACACTTGAAGGCTATTTGTCACTGAGGAGAGGGAAATCACAGGTCACTCGCTGCAACCTGGTATAATTTTGTAATTCTTACCATAACTTTGGGAAAGCCAATTCAACACCAGGAAGAACTCGGGGTTTTTAATTACAGCTTGGTAAAATGGAAAAATTCTTGCTCTAACTGCTTGCTGAGGAACTTACTTTCAAATGTTCAAGAGGTGGGGGCCGGCCACCTGAATTTGGAAGGTCATAAGGTATGAGTGGGCTGCTGAGAGTTTGTGGACATGGGACAGCAGATCCTTAGAAAACAGTACACTTATCCCAATGTGAGTGCACATCTCTACAGGCAATACATGTTTACATAAAATGAATGCCATTTATACAGCAGTGAGTCTTTGGAGCCCACGTCTCCATCCGTAGGGAGAACATGAGTCCTGGATGCCTCCTTCAGTACCCTCCAGAAAGCCCCTGTAGGAAGATAACTAAAAAAGGAGACAACTCCGTAGCAGAATAGGAAACCATATCCAGGTGATTCGGGAAGAGAACTAGTCACTGTCAAGGGGAAGGGAGGATACGTGAACGATGGATAGGTCTTACCTGCAAAACTCTTTTGGTCAGGCCTGTTTTTTGAGCAAGCTGTTTGAGGTCCTTGGCATCAGGGTTGTGGTTGATGGCAAAGTAGGATTTCATGGTCCGGAGCTGGTGGTGCTTGAAGGAAGTTCGCATGCGTTTGGTCTTCTGTGAGGGTGGGTAAGGCTGCTGGTCCCGGTCCAAGTGGTCTGCCTCGTTCTCATTACAACCTGTTGCAGTAACAGTGAACAGACCAGTGCTCAGTGGAAACTTCTACATTGGCTTAAAGGGTGGAGGGTGTGTGATACCGCTGCTGTCTTCCTAAAGCAGAAGGCTGTCAGCCCAGTGGTGAGCGGTAGACAGGAGGAAGACAACGGCTACAGCCAGCTAGCCTAGGCTATTTGGACACAGGCGGTTTACATACTAGGAGAGATGAGATAAATCCTTTCCTCTGCTTGCTGTTCACTAGGAAAACCTTGGGGAAAGGTAGGAAGTCAGAGTAAGAGCAACCTCAAAAAATAAAATAAAATAAAAAATAAAAAAGGAAGAAATCCTTTTGTGATGGTTTCTGTGGAACTGCACCCAGGTGTCCACATTCACATGTTTTGTTTGTTTGTTTGTTTGTTTGTTTGTTTGTTTGTTTGTTTTTGAGACATTTTTGCCTGTTTCTTGAATTCCATGTTCTGTGTGAAGGCACTGCTCTTTATCCTGATGAATATAGCACATGTATATTTCAGGTCTCAAGTTTCAAGCTATCTACACACGCATGAACACACACAAACACACACACACACACAAAACTAAGGAATAATCTAAACCATTTTCTTATATCCATGGAGCTTTCTCGAGCAGGAAAAAAAAGAACATGGTTGGAAAAATGAGGAGACGTGAGAAAATGACTTTTTTTTTTAATGTCTTAGAGAATCATAAAAGCATTGTATTTGAAGAGTTTTAGCTGTATCTGGTCAGTCTGGGCTATGCCAGGAAGAAAACACTTTTCCCTTGGAGTTATTCTAATAAATATTTCTGAAAGAAAATGGCCCAGCCTTCTCATTCATTCGTGCCTGAAGCACTCCCCTCAGCTCACTGCTGAGGCTTACTGATGCTTTCTCTCCAACTCTGTCCCCTGTGCTCTGGATGTGTTTGAGTCAGGTTGTGCCACTGACTGTCCTGGCAGTGAGAGGGCAGACTCTTCTCTGCGCCTGGAAAACCCTCCTTGGCAGCAGGGGTGAAATAAGTCAGACTTCAAAACCAGGGGGAAAGTCCTCATCCTCAGGATGTAAAAGTCCATCATACTGAAAGCTCTTCTCTGGTTCTGCGCAAGACATATGACTACAGATGAAAACATTTTACCAAACATTTACTGACTTAGTCACCTCTGTGAATTCAAGGACATGGCTGTCTTTGGCTCTTTCAACCCTAACTTCATATGTTTATCAGATGTGTTTTCACATCTGACCACCCTGTGCTTCAATGAATTATTTAAAATCATCCTGATCTTGTCATTCTGAAGAAAAAGCTTAAATCTTGGGGGGGGGGGAATCGCTTAATAGTACTCCTCTCCTTCTGCTTTTTAAAATGTTCTCTGCCTGCCTGGCTCTGGTTGGACTTCCTTTCAAATTTTTCTAACAAATCAGTACGTATATACACACATAAGTGCTCAGAAAACAACATATATGCAGTTCTGCAGGAGTCAACTGGAAAACCTACATCCCAAATATAATAAAATGAATTTTGAACTTCTGTGTGCCCTAAAACACAAAACTGGGAGGCCATACAAGAGTGCAGTCATACAAAAGAGGAGGTGTCCATGAGCTCTCTGAGGGAAAGGACTGTATCATGTTCTTGGGATAGTTTATTGATTTGGGATTCCCCAAGTCAAAAACAAGGCTATAAACTCAACAAGTATGATCTCAAGTTTTTTGTTCACCAGGGAAATTATAAGTGTGTGTTAATACAAAGTCAAATCAAATTGTGATGGTGTCCGAGTCAGACATGTACTGCTAAACGTTGAGCTTAAGCTGCTTAGGCCAGTCAGAAGGGAAACATATACCACAGATAAGAGAGAGAATATGTTTTACATTTTACTCTATTTCATCTCAGTGGGGAGATGTCAACCTCAAACAGTCCACACAATTGCACTTTCAGATCCTCAAATGGATAAACCGGCATCTGGTGACTAAAAAACTAGGTTATCTCCAGTAAACTGAGCCATATTTCACAGCCAGATTACAAATATACCCTCAGCAAATGGTCAAAGAGGAGCATTCCAGTCATTGGAGGTTTCTTCAAATGAGACATCATGCCTAGCCTGTGAGAGCAACTTTTCCTGAACAACACATCAATTGTGACAAGAGTACAAACTTGCTGTTTAAATAATGCACTTACTTATTCCATCTCTCCCAGGATAACATTTTCTAGAAATGAATATGATTCTCAACCTAGCTATCTAGCTATTCATCATTTGAAATGAATCTAAGGAAAAAAATAATAATTAAAATACAAATTGAGGAAATTGCTTCTCTGACTATGTACTTCCTTTTTGATTTTGCTCATTGCAAATTCAGGATAGCAGTTTAGAAATTAGAAAGAATTGTTGGGTTTGCTGTCACATACCAATTCAGTGCATAAGAACACAGGTATCAGGTCTTTCTCACAATATGTGATTTTCATGTGGCTACGTCTGCACCTACATCATGCAACTTGATAGAGAGATCAATTTCTGCCACAATGTAAGTCAGCTTATCACAAATTGCTTTTTGTGTAAAATTGTAAATTGTGTTTTCCCCATAGCTTTTGGGATATTTCTTCCTGAATCATAAGAACAAATAACTCCCTTTACATTGCTTCACATCCTCACCTGCAGCTGCACATGCTGCTACTGAAGTTATCGCAAAGAGATAAATGTTTTACATTGGCTTACTTGGGAGCCGGTCACCTGCCTAAAATGAGGTTCTGTTCTTAAAGGTTCAGAACCCTCTGAGAATTAACGAATTCCTGGGAGACCACTAGGGGTCAGTGCCAGGCTAATTTAACAAGGCGAAATCTTGCACATTTAGAGGAACCCCAAGAGGGAGGTTTTGAGAAGTAGCAGAAATCCATTTTCTTAGTTAATGGTCAATTACCCATATAGGACCTATCTACCCTAGGCTAACTCCTTTTGGCTCTAGAGGGCTTTATTTAAAACCAACATTTCAGATAAGTTATCTATGCTTCTTCCAAAGATATAAGCCTGAAATGTTTGATTAATATGTACAAAGAGGTGGGAACTAAACTAGGAACATTCTCGTTGAGAGGTGCTAACCCTATGGCAGGCCCTAACAGTCTTCGAATCATGAGCATGTTTTGTGTATGTGTTTTTAAAAACTCATTGTATGGATTTATTTGGACCTCATTAATGCTCTTGTTTATGATGCTTTACACAGAAACTGCAATAGAAAACCCAGAGAATGCTAAAACCAATGAGCTTAACATATAGGTGACTTGTATGTGCTATATTTTAATATGTTTTAAATTTACTGACCTATGCACCCCTGTTCCATCAGACTGTGTGCAAAGCTAACATTAGAATCATAAGCACTTTTTTTTAAAATAAGGCGATTTTGATTAAGTTCCTTTGATTAGATTCTCTTCACCTAATCTTAAAGAAATGTGCACTATTTGCTCTTGCCTCTGCTAATGTCCAGGAAAGGTAGTGCATGTCCAGAAGCTGTAGAATGTTAGGCAGCCTGGGCCACTTTTCTGTTCCGGAACAGGAAAACTTACTCAAAGACTGGGTGGCCCTAGGGAGCAAACTAATAATCTAAGCAGCTCCCCCCCCCCAACTCTATTTGTCCTCAGGAAAGTTAAAAAAAAAAAAAAAAAGTGAAGAAGTGAAGCCAAATTCTATTATTCTGAAAGTTTCTCGGATCTGTCTAATATAACATAAGAACCGAGGCAAAACCAAGTTTAGCTAATTAGATTAAATTAAACAAGCAAACAGCTGAGCTTGCTCCCAGTTCGACTAGAAATCCCACCGCTCTGGGTTTCATGGGGTACAGGCATCATTCTTTCCCTACTAGTTGTATATAACCCTGTCTCCCTCCCTCCCCTTCCTGTTCCCCTTCTCCTCCCCTATCCCCTTCCCTCTCTCTTTCTCTCTGGTCTCTCTGGTCTCTGTAGGACAGTCAGGTCTTGGTGAGTGGCTGGAAATTCCAATGTCATCTTCTATCAATAAAAAATAATTATTGTCCTGCCTGCCTTGTGTTGAGGGCCAGGCATGAAAGAATATGGACTGGGCAACTGGACCCTAGGCAAAGCCCTGCCCCAGCTTAGCAGGAGCCCTGGTGCCAGGCAAAGCCGCTAATGCCCTTGTCCAAGCCCTGGGCTGAGCCCTTAGCCTCTTTGTTGGCCTCCTTCCCTTATTCCAGCCACTGCCCAGATATGAACTCCCTAGAGACAGATGTGGCCTCCTTGGGCTACATGTTCCTCCTTTTCTCTCTGAGATCCCATCTCTCTGATTCCTCTAAATTGGGAAGAGAATTCCATTCCGGAAAAACAAGAGCACTTTGGAGCTCTATGTTCTAGGGAGCACCTGAGAACTGGAGTCAGAGAAGGGCTCTCAGTTCAGATGTCCTCCATGTCTATGACCTCAGGGCAGATCACTTAACTAGGATATTTTCCACTATCATTGAGCTACAGGTCACATGCCACACCAGACACTGAACACCGGAAGGGGGCAAGTAATGAATACTCACACTAACTAGTGTGTTATTTCCAGTAGCCCAAGTCCCCTGTGTGCTGAGCACCCAAGTAGGTGTGGGTCAGAGCATGGGAAAGCAGAGCAGTCAAGTTCCTTGGGCTCCCTCAAACCAGTCTGGCTTTTCTGGAATCCCCTTTTCCTCTGTGCTTACTCTGAGCAGGAGCTCAGGTCTTCAAGGTCTGCCAAAATTCTGACCTTGAGTATGGGAGGTGGGGATAGGCTATCAGCAACCAGAAACCTCGCTGGAGTGCGAGACAGATTGATAACAGATAGGTGTGTCCTCCAAAGCAAGGACATCTTTGCGGACTGTGGCCTGTACTTTTTTTGAATTGGGAGGAGGCTGGCAGAGGCAGGGAAGCCGCCTGGGACAACACTAAACCACCCCAGCAGGTCTAAATGACGGGATGATCTACCTGGCAGGGAGGGAGGGTCAGGGAGGGAGGCAAAGCTGTCTCAGCTGCACAGAGTGAGACCCCACCCTACAGTTGCTCTTTGCCAAGATCAGAGATTCAGCTTTTCAATACCCTCGCCAGCTATGTTGCTGATTAACTTTGGGCTGGTGACCACAGCCTTTGCCCCCTCTAGACAGAGTGGAGCTGGGCTCTGAAGTCTTTCTTTCCCCCCCTATTAACAATTTAGGAAAACCTCCTCCAGGATCTATAATTTGGCTCCAACAAAGGAATTGCCCTGGGGCTGTTTTGCTCCAACTGAGAGCCAGAAACTAATGGGCTCATTAACTAATGGGCAACAAGGATTTGGCTTTGCCTGTTTGGGGGAAGTCACTTCAGCACCATGGCCATATATATATATATATATATATATATATATATATATATTTTTTTTTTTTTTTCCACAAGCTCAATAACCAATAGCCCATCCTCTCTCCCCTTCCATTCCTTGACTCCTTTCTCTTCTCCGACTGAGAAAGGAGTGTGGTGAGAGCAGGATCAGGTTAGGAAAAGCACTGTCTTGGCGACCTGGTCTTGGACAGAACCGGCACTGCCAAATCCTTCTCCAGCAGTGTGAGATCTGAGCTGTCGGGGTGGGTAAGGTTAGGGGCCCACCTGAGTTGTAATTCACGATGTCCACTCCCAGAGCTGGGCTCTTTCGCTTCCGGGGCCGCCCCTTCTGCACCGTGCCAGTGCCATTGAAGTAAGGCAAGGCCAAGCCGCCGCTCTTGGCTGCCAGCTCGGTGTAGCTCAGCTGAGGTGGATATTCCCCTTGCAAGAGGGTCTCAAAGTGTGCGCGGCAGTACACCAGGCTGTCCTTCATACCGAAATGGTCGCCCGTGGTCAAGGTCTTGTTGCAAGTGGAGCAAGTAAAGCAGCTCAGGTGATAGACAGAGTCTCGGGCGCGCATGACCATCTCAGAGGCGGAAATGCCAAGGTGGCAGCGGGCACATCTCTGCACAGAGAACCTTCTGGAAGCAAAAAGGAGAGTCAGGGAGCCAGCTGGTACAAGGAGGACCTAGCTCCCATTCGCAGCACCAGGGCCCAAAGATTAACTCAGGAGTGCTGACTGAGGGCCACTGTGGATATCAGCTTCATTTGCTCAGTGACCTATTCTGGTTCTGGTGAACCGAAATAAAAGAATCCTTACATTAAAGTCCAAGGAACCAGGAACTAAGCTTCGATGTATTTTTTAAGCCAACAAAACAAAACTCTGAACTGCCTTACACACAGAGCTTTTGAAGAAATACTAAATTGCAACGCCAAATGGAAAAAAAAAAAAACCTCCTGATCTTATTGATGAGCAAAGAACCCCACTCCTGCGTGTACGCGCGTGCCGGGCAATCCCCGAAAACGGCCATTCCACAAAGGAAAGCCTAGGCTTTTAGCGCTCCTCCCGTTGCTGCTTAGAGAGGAGCGGGGGTCACTTCCACCAGCTCAAATCTTTCCCAGCTTCCTGAGATGTGTTTGTTTTCGTTCGCTTGTTTCTGCTTTGTTCTGCTTTGTTGATTTTTGTTTTCTTCATTCTGGTTCTTCCTAGCCGTTAGGGGGGCAGTGGCCTCTGACTTTTTCATTGTCATCGACCTGGGCCGACAGCGGGGAAGCTGACCAACTCATATCAAGGGGGACCAACAAAACAAAACAAAACAACAACAACAACAACAAGAACAAGAACAATCTTGTCTTATTTGGCCGAGACACCTTCTTGCAGACTTCTCCCGGGGAGCAGTGAGGAGCTAGTGGCCCCACTGAAGCCCTCTGCACCCTGGGAGCCCTCCCGCCCACGCCCACCCTCACCAGTGGCTAGGCGCACTTTCCAGGCATATGTAACGAATTTCCTCCAACTCAGATACAGCTAGACCGTGAAAAAAAATGGGGACAGAGAGGTGACCCGGGATTCCCGCAGGGGGCTCTGACCAGGTGCCTCGGGTCAGGGGAGGCCGTGAGGGGGGCGGGGTGGGAATCTACCTGTAGTAATCCTCCTTGCAGTAAATGCTGCCGTCCTTGGCGAAGCAGGTGAGCTCGGACTCCAGGGCCAGCTTACACTCACAGCACTTGAGGCACCTGAGGTGCCACTGCTTGTCCACGGCCAGCAGGTAGTACCTGTCGGAGATCTTGCCCCCGCAGCCTGCGCACAGAGCGGGTTTCTCGGGGCTGAGCGGGGGCATGCCCTGCGAAGCAAACACAGCGAGGCTGAGGGAGCTGTGGCGACGCCCCACAACCCGGGACGCCTTTGGCAAAAGTAGGGGCAGCCTCAGCCATTTCTCCCTTTTCCGCAAGCAGCTCCCCTCCTAACGTCCCGGTCCTCCTGGCTTGGGACCCTAAAAATAGCTTGACATCTTTGGGGCTTGCTTGGAGCCTACAGGATGTTTTGATGGGCGGTCCCAGAAGTAGAACAACTAAGGCTAAAAAATTGTGACTTTCAAACAATACACAAAATAAAACTGCAGGAACTGTTTCCGAGAAATAGAAAGAATCCCTGAGTATACGGTTGTTGTTGTTTTTTTACATAAATGATTCTATACTTCTATTTTTCAACTTTTTTTACAGGCGGAATGATTTGGCCGGCATTGTTGTGATTGGACATACTTAGCAGATGTTGGTGTTCTCGAAGTTCAAGGCCGTGGCCCTGTCCCTGGTAAGAAAGTGAAGTGCCTGAAGGACGGACCCTCGGCCAGCCCTTTCTGTATAGCAGCTCTTCTCTCTAGCCAGCATAATCAGCACAAACTTGAAAGTTTGATTCCCAAACTAAGTGAGGCTAGCTAAGGCGGTAAATTTCACCCTGAGGGTCCCAGGCGGGTTTGGTCGCTGCTTTATTTTATTTTTAAAATAAAATAGCCGCGAAACTCGCCGCCAGATCTTTTCCTCGGACTAACAGAGATAGTCCGGGCTTCCCCTGCTACGTTTGGGCGGCATGGGGAAGGTTAATGTTCGCCTTCTACTCCAGTACTGGATTATCACTAAATTAACGGTTCAAACGGCGAGAGTGGGCTATTTCAGGAGACCCCAGACCTCGCTGAGCGCTGGGGCCGCTCTGCTCAGTCCGAGCTGTAGTCCCGGCTAGGCTACGGAGGCTTTGTACAGCATTTCACGCGGAACCGCTTCCGCAGACCTCTGCCGCTTCCCTCCCTGCGGTCCGTAGGTGGAAAGGGGACACGCTCAGGCTGCCGGGGACCTCACGAAGACGAAAGTGCCAGTACGGACAGTACCAGCACTCGTGGGTGATTGCTTCTCTCTCAGGGTCGCGGAGTTCGTGTTTTTGCTTTTAGACTACCGGCCGCTCCTTCTCATTTTTATTCCATTTCCCGCTACACATGACACCCGCCCCGCAAGGAAGAGAGACGCAGATCTGTGACCAGGGGAGCTGACCCGGCATGCCAGGGCCCCTTCCAGTAACCTCTGCTCGCGGGGGATGAGACGGAAAGGGACCAGCGCTTCGGGTTCTACTGCGAAGGTCTGGCCTTCCACCCCAGGGACTGGGCAGTCTCGGGCACCAGGCTGTGCCGGACGCGGTGCCCTCGCCCGGCCCCGAGGCTGGCCCTCGGGGCGGCGGGGCGGGCCGGGCGGCGGGAGAGGGCGTCTGGGGCTGCCGGGACGCGCGCCCGCTCCCTCCGAGGCCAGCTGCGCCGCCCGCTCGCCGCCAGCCCCCATACAAAGGCCCGTGAGCCCGGGGCCGCAGCGCCCGGACGCCTCGGTTCCGAGGGGAGCCCTGCCTCGCGAGCGCGCCCCTCGAGGAAAGCCAGCGGCATCCCAGCGGGCGTCCCGGGCCCCGCCGCCCAGCCCGGGGGCCGGGGACCTGCAGCCCCGCCGGCGCCGCGCGGGCTCCGTCCTTACCGCGTCGCGGCCGTTGAGCTGGGTGCCTTTGGCCAGACGGGCCTCGGTCTTGGATCTGCGCTCCATCTCCTCCATGATACCTTGGATGTGGCCTCCGGAGATTCCGTGGAAGAGCATGGCTGGGGGGCGGAAAGGACACGAATTGTTTTCGGCTCGGCACCCCACTATTTCCATAAACACACGCCTGGGGCTCTCAGTGCATTCGAGTGAAGAAGCAAAAGCGGCCGCAAAGCGCTGCGCGGCGGCGGAGCGTGGAGACGCGTGGGACAGGGAGAAGAGAAGAAAAAGACAGGGTGGAAATAGATCTACTTAGGAGGAGAAAAGATGGGGGGGGAGCGACGGGGAACGGGGGGGGGGCGGTGTCCAGGGTTTTCCAGAAGGAGATGTGCAGAAAACAAACAAACGCGGACGGAAGGGAGAGCAGGCGAATCTTACTGCAGTGGGAGATCGAGTTACTAATGGGAAACAACTGCCGCAGGGTGGGGAGGGGGAGAGAGAGAGAGAGAGAGAGAGAGAGAGAGAGAGAGAGAGAGGAAAACAAAATCTAAGGAAGAAAGAAAAATAGTTTGGAACACAAAGGAAGAAAACGAAGAGCGGTATTCAGCGGTCCCTGGCTGCCCGCAAGTTCCCAGAGCCTGTAGGTTGGGTTGGGGACTGCTTCAGCCGGAGCTGTGTCCAATTTGTTAAGAGACTAAAGCCAGCCCATTTTTGATAATTTAGTAGGAGGAGTCCTCTCCCCGGAGCTGCCACGGATTTTTATTCAGACAACAAAGACCTGTCATACCTCCTCTCAACCCCCTGGTGACGGGCAAGCAGGGACAAACATTACAAAGGGGTGGGGGACTGGGGGGGGGGGGGGGCAGGGGGGGGGGAACCTTGCCCCCACCCCACACGCGCGCCCGCACACACACACACACACACACACACACACACACACACACACTCACACACACACTCAAGAACACATCTTCCAAGAGTTCTCAACAGGCGTGTTTTAAAGCGGCAAGGCAGCCCTTATTGTCCGGGTCCTGGATGGAGCAGGAGGCAGGGCCAGTTTAACTTGATCCTAGTTCATCAGACCCCAGCGCGCAGAAGATCAGCTCCGAACCTTAGGTTTCCTTCGCGTCCACAGACTTTTTAAAATCCCCAGTTTACAAGGCTGACACCAGAAATGTATAAAAACCCACAGACTTTGAAACACTCCACAGAAACGGTGGTTTTAGTGCGTGCCCATCCTCTTCCCCTCTCTCTCTCTCCTGACAGTTGTCTGCCTGTCTCACCTCCCCGAGGGCAGGAGGTACGCCAAGCTGTGAGGCTCCCTCCAAACTGAAAAGGGGCGTGGAGAACCTACTTTTCTGGGTAATACTTTTGGAAAGAAATATGCCCCCCCCCCGAAATTTTCGAGTGTAGAGGCCAGGGCATGGTTTTGTAGACCTGGATACTCAACAGAACCTCGTCCGTGGAGGTTCGTCCATCTGTTGCTCTTTTACTTAAATCTAGATGGAAGGTAAACTCTTGGACCTCGTAGAGTCCCGTTTGGAATTTGTCGCGTGCGCTGAGCTGGGCGCCTGAGCCGCGGAGGACCGGGCAGTGGCCGCTTGCACTCCGCGCACTTCGGGGAGTGTGAAGGAGGCTGCTGGGGTGGAGGCGGGGAGGTGAGAACTAACAGGCAGGGTGGCAGACCGCTCCTCACGAGCGATGGTATTGTTCTGACGTCCTCTGTTCTTGATGGCCGGGCCCTTCCCCTCCCTCTGGACCCATTAACAACTGTCCACAGTATCCCGATAATGTGGATTCACTGACACAACCTGAGAAGTCCTAGGACGGTGGAGCTGCAACACGAACTTAACCCGAAAGAGAAGAAAGCCTGGGCGCCGCCGCCCCTCTCCGCGGCTTCGCCAGCCTCTGTTTCCCCGTCGCCCTGCCGCCTGGCCTGGGTACAGCGGGTTTCGGTCTGGACGCACGAGCGGCGGCGCAGCTTCCCTCCACCCGGGGCTTTCCACTTTAGCCCAATCTCAAAGGAAGGCTGAGGAGAAACTGGGAAGAAAAGGAAGAAGCGGAGGAAAGAAAAAAAAAAAAAAAGGAAAGAATAAAGGATGGGAGCAGATGAAAGGGGACTTAGGAAGGAGGGAGGGAAAACCAGGAAGTGAACGAGGAAGGAAGGAAGTGAACGAGGAAGGAAGCTGCGGGGAAGGAATGCCGAGAAGGAGGAAACAACCCCGAGTGCAGCAGTCTAACTTCTTGTCCCAAAGCTTCGCTTTCTGAGGCTCCTGGGGTCGCCTCTTCCATGAAACCCAAGCCTCCAGTGTTTCCCCACCTTTCTTTTTTCTCAGGGTCAAAATGATGTTATTTGCAGACTGGACGCTTTTAAGGTCCTCTGGGTGCCAGAATACAGCTCATAAAACACAATTTCACACAAAAAAAATGAAGCCAATCAAGTGAACTAAGTTGGAGACACCCTCCTCCCCATTTTGGCAGCCCTACCTGACAGCAGGACGGCTATTTACTGTAAGTAATGTAATTAGCCCCTTTGGATGGAAATCAATGAGCTCTTCAAACCCACGTGCACACAGGAAGGGCCCCAAGGAGGGGCTGGAGCAGGGGCCCTTTTAGAGACAGCAGCAGGTCCTCTCACAAAGGGGCAGATTGCCTTCCTACAAGTCAGCAGTTAAACTGACTCAGAACCCAAAGAGGAGGGGTCTACCTAAAGAACTAGTCATTTACCCAAGAAGGCTCCAGGCACAAAGTAAGTGTAGAAGTGTAGCCCACTCTGCCTAGTTTCTCCCTAAACCCTTCCCACCTTCAAACAGGAGTGTTTGGAATTGCCCTTGGCTGGTGGATTTTGGTCTGTACAGCAAGAGTATTAAAAAACAAACAAACAAGCAAAAACAAAACAAAAACCCAACACTTCATGAAGGAAAACTTAAAAAAACACCTCTTGTAAAAAGCCACAGCTTTGGGAAGAGTCAGGAGGAAAGCCAAGCACAGACATTTTGTAAGCCTGCATTCATTCATTCGTTCATTCATCCATCCATCCATCCAATCTACTTTCTCTTCACATATCATTGAATCATCTGTAAGGATGGGCAGGTTAGAGCATTGTCTGCAATGAGTTTCCTAGCTGGAGACAAGCTAGGATTGTTCTTTCTTATAAAACTCAGGTTATAAGTTCCAGGGTCCACCGGGGTTGGCTACTTCCGTAAAAAAGCAGACTGCCAAGATTTTTCTTGCTCTGAGAATGCAGGAAATCTTTGGAAAGGTGGGACTAGGGCAGAGGCCTTATAGCATTTGGGAGGTCCTAGTTAGTTCTGGGGAAATGGCTCCCCAAAGATCTAGCTCACCCTCCTCTCAAGCTTCCTCCAAAAGAAGCCCCAAAGGAGTAAAGGGTGAAATGGCCCAAGAATTAGGAGTGCAACAGAATATGCTAGCTAACCTTTTGTCTAGGAGCCCCAAGAGACTGGTGAAGGGCCCGTCTCACCTCCTCCTCTTCACCCAAAGGACTCTCGGTGACTTTAAAGGGGAAAGCATCTCGATCACTTTGCCAGGTAAAAACACTCCTGTTCCACAGGAAGTGTTTCTCTCCCCTCCAACTCGAGGCTGAACATCTCATCAAACATGTTCCCTGAGTTAGCCAGCTCAATTCCAGAGACTAAGACACCCCCCCCCCCATCAATAGGACAGGTGCATGGGGGCTGGCAGGCTGGCTGGCTGGCTGGCATTTCCGGTGGGATCTAGAGTCTTCTTTCCACTAGGCAGGTCCCTGGCCTGGCGCTGTCCCCTCTGCCCCAGCATAGGCAATCTGCTGTGCTCTCTCTCTTCTGTGGCTGGCTGTCCATAAGGCTATTGTTACAACTTTCAGTAGAGTGTGAGTCTGTATTCTAACGAAACAGAAGGTTTTAGATTTAGCATACCAGATCACAGCATTTTCCTGAGGGCAGAGGAGACTGAAGGGCCATTGTCTGGGCTCAGGCAGTCCCACCTGGGGAAAGGTCCCTGGTTTAGTCAACTCCTTGGGGGTTAGGAAAGGAAAAATAGAGATGGCCTGGATTGCTCTAATAGCTGCATGGCTTTAATCTCCAGAGAGGAAATAACCTAGCAAATGCTCATCATTTATCGGTAAGAGACTCAAGGTCTCTTTAGACCTCAATTTTGGTGACCGTGTCCCAGTGCTTGCAAGTGGGGCCATTGGAAGCCAGAATTCCTTTCCTTTAGATCCTAAGAATACTGTTGGCCTGAAAGGAGAACCTTCTGAGAACATGTTTAGGCTTTGGCATGTGGGAGTATCTCAACAGCCAAGAAAAGTCAGAGGTGTTGTGAAGCCAGGAGTCCTGCTTTCACTGGTGGCTCCAATCCACTTTGGATGACAAGGCTCAGGGCAAGGGCCCGCAAGTCCCCAAACCCTTCCCTGGACAGCCGAGACATATCTTTCTATGGCAGCTCCAGCCTGCTTCTGCTTCAGAGAGTATCTCTGATTCAGTCCTACGAGTGAAGCTTTCCTCAAGACAAATGCAAGCAAGCCTTCAGAGTTGTGGCTGCAAGAGCCGGGTGGCCGCGCTCTCGCTGCCACGCCGGCGCTATTGCCTGCTGCTCTCTGGGACATGTGTCTGTGCCGGGGTCAGGGTTCACAAACACCTGAGGCCACAAAGGCCCCTATCAAGTACTTGCTTTCTTCAGACCTACGTTTTTTAATCTTGCCCCCACCTCCAGCCCCACCAGGGCTACCGTCTCGCCTAGAATACCGGGCTTCTGCAACTTAAAGCCCTTTTACCTGAAGCTTGCGGTGCCGGTGGCCCTCAGAACCTTCACAACAAAAAGGGGAATTCTACGCAGCGCAACGTATCAGGGATGAAGAACAAAAACAAAATGTGAATAAAGTACGTTGCCACTGAAGGACAGCTCCGACAGACGAGGGTCACAAGCCCCTGGTACCTGTGCTTTCTGACGGCCCGATGACACCTGGACCTTTACCCGGAGCCTAGACCTCCTGACACCAAGGAAAGTCAAAGACAGTCAAGAAGAGCCAAAGCGCGCAGCGGTGGGGGTGGGGTGGTTCTGGGAGTCCTGAGTCAAAACACTTTCCAGCCTCCAAATACGACCCTTCCACTCAATGGAGGCACGCTCACGGTCCGATCACATACCGGGTCTCTCTCTCTCTCTCTCTCTCTCTCTCTCTCTCTCTCTCTCTCTCTCTCCTGGAACACATGCGGGCCCAAGGAAACGGTGGCCAGGAAAATGCCAAGGAACCTGGCGCAAACTCACCTGCCTCTAGAGTGGTGCCGTTCAGCATCCTTTCTGCAAGAGGGGTGGGTCGCAGAAGGTCGTGCTGTCGTAAAAAGAAATCCCGCTTTGTCAGCTGGACTGTACGGTCCCAAGAACCTTCTCTCCCTTGTGGGGCCGCTCTCAGCCTCTTGTCTGCTGAGATTCGGGGACCCGCGCGGTTATGGCCAAGCTGAGTTTCCCTTCCCGGGCTCAGAATGGACCCTCCTCCCCGGGAGAGGACAGCACTCCCCACTACGCGGGACCTAAAGGGATGTTACCTTGATGTCCTGGTGTCAGCTGTTCCTTTCAAGAATTTGATTCCTGGAGAGGTGGTGGCCAGAGGTGACGGTCAGGGGTGCTGGCCGGCCAGTCCCCACGTCTCACTCTGTTAAGCAAATAAATAAGCCAGTGAATGAACATAAGCTCGCTCGCTCTCTCCCTCCCTTCCTTCCTCCCTCCCTCCCTCCTTCCTTCCCCTCCTCTCCTCTCTCTTCCCTCCCTCCCTCCTTCCTCTTCTCCCTCCTTTCCTCCCTTCTCTCCCTCCTCCAGTATTGACCTGAATCTCTCACCTCTGACCTTCAGCCTCCTCCACCTGTCTTTTATTTTCTGTTTATGCTTTCTCAAATCGGAAAAGGCGGGGGGTTGGGATGGGGGTGGCAGAGGGCTCAGCCTCCGACCAGTGCCCCGACACCAGTGCTGAGGACAGGCTCAGCCCTGCCAACCTCTCAATAATCCGAGGAGGTGTTAATGGAAGACTTGGCGGCAAGGGAAGCTCATAAAGCGACGAGCATCTCGAGGCTTGGGCGCAGCCGAAGTGGAGGAGAGGGGAGATGGGTCGGGGTGGGGGTGGGGGGCGGCTGGAGCCCCACAATGCGCCCTGGGCTCCCGGACCCCTAGCCTGCCTTTGCCTCGCTGAAGCTGGTACGTAAAAGATGCTGCCGCCAGCTGGTGCCTGCTACACAGACAGCAAATGAATGGGTGGTAGCTCTTGGGGAAACTGGGCGATTGCTCATACACCACCCCCGCCTTCCTCCCCGTCTTTCACTCAGCGTCGGTGCTCCGTAGCCGGACACTGGAAACCCAGCAAGTTGGAGAACATTCTGCACTGCCTTTGTGACCGTCTGTGAGGGGGGCCAGGACACCTGTCCCTCTTGGGTCCTTACTAAAGCGCAAGGACTGAGATTAATCTTCTGGAAGGAAACCTGCGCCCATCCCCGGGTAGAAGATATTGCTTTGGGACCCCGGACCCGGTGAGGACCCTGTTACCTGGTCTCAGGTTCTGCTAGGGCTGCGTAGCCCCGAGTTCCCTCGAGCCGCTGGGAAGTGGAGGAGAATCGGAAGCCAGACCTCTGGCCAATTATTTACCCCACTCCCCACCCAGGGCGCCCCTCACCGTCGGAGATGGGGAGGCGGGGGATTAGGCTGGGCTCCCGCGCCAGTTGGGAAGGAGGTGTGAGCAGAGAGATTGGCAGCTCCGGACGGTCAGAGCCGGCGCCGCCCTCCCCCACCCGTCTGCTCCCCAAAGCCCGGGCGATCTTAGCGGCTCCTTGACTTGGCACGGGCCACGGATTGGATGGGTTGAAGGCATTTGTGTGCCTCGAAGCCACCAGCGAAAACCACGGAATTGTGCGGGGCTGGAAGCCAGCCTGCTCTCCACAGTTTGGGGGCTTTAAGGGACCGCTCAGGAATGGCGAATCCCAGCCCCCTTCCCATGCGTGCTCACTCTGCACCCTAAGAGGCAGAAAGTCGCCCGAAGGGGCTAGGGACTGACTGCGCCTCGGGTTCCACTAGGCTTCGTGAACTAGTGGTCACCCCTGCCTATTCAGCTTATTTTCTCTATTATACCCTCCTGGTGGGTACAAAACTCTTGGATTCAGCTTTTATGCTAATCACTGAACTAGAAACTCTTAGGTGTTCGGGAGTTCTGTTCTATGCAGCGCCTTTTAATTCTTCGGGTAACCGTTTTGGGTATCTGATATATATGCGCCTCCCCCCACTCCCCACACACACACCCAGGGGGGAGGGGCTTTTCTCCCTGAAAGGAGAAAACCATTTCGGAAATACATCTTAACTATTGTAGGATAGTGAAAAAGTAACAGGGAGCTTTTACTTCTCCACCATTGACGTGTCAGCTCACGAGCTTCCACCATCGCTGAGGTGGAGAAGATGAAGTGGCTGAAGTAGGCGAGGAGTGAAAGGTGATGCTTCAGGGGGCAAGGTTCCTTTCGGGCTGACCTGGAGCCCTGAGACTTCTAACAGCTGAGGAACGCAATGTGGCAATTGTCATTCATCAGGTAGGTAGGGGCCTCCTTTCCTAATCTTGTCTGGAGATGAATCAAAGACCTACCAATTTTTGATGTTAGGACTTTGTTGAGCAAAAGAACTTTGCAACAAAACGCCTTTGGAGAGGGGCACTTTGCTGAAAGACCCTTGGTGGAGCCTGTGAGAACTTCAGGATCTCCTTGTTGCAAACACCCTATTTGGAACTTCAGGTTTTACTTGAAAAGATAACAATTCTTCTTCTCGACCTTCTTAATCAGGGGGGACAGTGCGGCCCCTGAAGAGAGAGGAGTGTGTATTACCATCTAGGGCTAGAGAGGGTCTTCTCCCAGCTGAGAGAAGAAAATGTAGCCTCAACAATCTATCTCCACCTCTGCTCTGGTAACCTTAGTTTCCCTTGGGTCATTCTGTGTTAGAAACAACCCAAAAATCAGTCTCTGTTGATTTATGGTGCCCTGAGGCAGAAGGAGCCTCCAGAAACCTTGAGAGTAGAGCTACAGGAGGGGTGATGTATGTGGGGACACTGCTGTTTCTGGGCATCTCCATATGTTTGTATCTATGCACCTAATAAGAGAGCTGAGTTTTTACTTTACAATGTGTGAAAACAGTATAGCTTAAACCCTCCCCCAGCAAAGTCCATTTATGTGGCAATGCTGTGTTCACTGTGAGAGCCCTGCCCTGCTGCACCAGGTTCTAACACTGTTCAGATGAACTGAAGCCTACCAACCGTTGATGTCAGCACTGTGCAGAGCAAAGGACTGTACCATGCCTTCGGAGAGGGATGCTTTGCTGGAATAAAGACCCCCCCTCGGTGCAGCCAAGGTGGCCTTCTCCAGAACTGCGCAGACCCTTACTCCCTGGCATCAGGTGCAGAGAAGAACAACTGCCTCCTCCTCCCTCCCTAACCCAGCAGCCACTAAGCTGCAAATTGAGATCCCAAGAATTGCCAAAGTCCATGATAGCCATGGCTTTTGCTGTTCGTTTGGAAGAAATGCACCAAGAGGAAGAAAGAGCATCCTCTGGAGTGCCTTCCATCTACCAAGGGTCTTTTTCTAAACACTCCCTTGAGTAGTACTCCTTTTCCAGATAATCTCCCCTTCTCCCTTCTCTAGATTCTTCAGAAAGGTAATCTTTTGAGGCAGTATTTCTTGGGGTGTCAGAAGAAAACACCATCCATCCTCCACCCAGAAAACTATATGGTTAATCTTCAAACTTAGGTTTGAAAAAGAAAAAGGAAAAAAAGTAAGTAGCTGCTCCTGTACCTAAGAGTGGGAAAGAAAGTGACTGCTAGGAATCCTTAACTGCACTCACAGTCACAATTAATCCCTTCCTCAGAATAACTTGTAGATATGACCATACCAGGTCCAGCAGAGCAGCATTTTAATGCAAGGAAGCTTCAGGCACTCCCAGGGTGCTTCCTAAAGTAACCAAAGGGTTAGAGGACCAAAAGGATGCAGCTATCAATATGGTCAACAGGCTTTGAAGGTAATTTAATGTCAGGCATGAAAAACAACAAAATAGTAATAAAAAAATAAAGAGCCACTAGGTTTCTTTTCACATATTTTACAGCTAAGAAGAACTTCCATTTTGTAATGAATATTGGCACTGGAACCTTTTTGTTGTTTAAGATCTGAAAATCTATGAGTGGTCCAAGCCTGAGGTCCAGCCCTGGGCAGCAGCCTTCTGTTACTGCATAACTCTTCCACTGTCAGACAAAGGGCCTCCTGGTGGCTGCTGTTCTGCAGGAGAAGCAGAGAAGGTATGAAAAGAACCAATCCTTGGAGATCCTGTCTCCCTGGAGGCTGGGCCCTCATAGCAAAATCACCACAGTGGAGAAAATGGACACAAAACAAGAAAGATGTCCAAAGGCAGATTTGCCCGAGAGGTATCAAAAGAAAAGGAGGAAAACTGGGTAGAGGGAGAATGAGGAATGGTCTAAGGGAGGCATGTTTAGTGGTCTAACCCCCATACCGAAATGGTGTGAAGTTTACACTGAAAGAACAGAAAGAAGATGACGGGACCATCTCTTGCTGAAGGATGGCATTTCTTGAGTATTCAAATGCTGCACTCCATGGTACTGTACTCATCTCCTTAAACTGAAGATATAAATAAAATAAAGAATGTGCTTGCTATTTGCCAGCAGCCTTCCTTGCACTGATGAGAAAACAATGGGAGAAGCAAAGCTCAGGAAAATCCAAAGCTGTTCCTGTGACCTGACTGCTACTTTCTTGTAATAGGACAGCCATTATTTTCACCTTCAATACATGTGTGTAGTTTTGCAGCAAAAATAAATGAAAATAATGTGCATTCTATGAATATGTGTATTTAATATTAAATCACTGTTCAAATATTCATAACAGATAAAAATTCTAGATTAGGGCTTTATTTTCCAAAACACAAGTTCAATTTGACAGAATAGCTATGAAGGCATTGTCAAACATAAAAACAGGAGTTGAACTGCTTCTTCTTAGATGGATCTTTCACATTGACTTGTCCATATGGACACTGAAAAAGAAGGACAACAAATTATAGAATTATTTAACAGTCACTGTGGGAAAGCACATTTCTCATGGTGGTTGTGTTTTAGAACACTTGATCAATCATGTCTTGGGGACTAAAGAGCATAGGAATCTCAGGTAAACAGCCCTAATTAGGGTCTAGGAACCATTTCCTGAGTACATCATCCCAATCTAAAGAATTTTACTATCAGAGCCCCATTCTTAGAAAATCCATGTGTGTTAGATTTATACAAATCTTATGCTCTTATTCATTTGATTAGAAACAGTTCATGGTATATATAGGAGTATCCATAAAAGTGAAAACTGACTTTTAAAACACTGTCTACAGTTCATGAGTGTCTAGTCTTTAATTAGAAAGGGGACTAGTGAAAGGAAATAACATCTTCTTAAAGGAAAAACATACAAAGTATTCTGTAAACAGATGTTACCTGGTTATAATCTTAACTGAAAAATAATGCACCTCAGAGGTAGGCCTCCCAACAGAAAAAAAAAAAATCTGATTTCTTCTGAAATCAGAATAGAGGAAGGAATAAACAGTTCATTCACTTTGATCATTAAACATAGGTATGTATCTCTTGAAATAAGCATACTCAGACCTACAGCACTAACTCTGGAGTAATTTAGCCTCACAAACTAGAAGAAAGCAGAGAAAGAAGTGTGAAGAACAGAAGGGAGGGATAGGAGACAGAGACAGGCAGACAGACAGAGAGAGGTGGGGAGAGAGAGAAAGAGACAAAGAGGGAGAGGGAGACAGATGGAATGAATGAGCAAGAAGAAAGTAGAATACCAGCATTGGATATCTGCCCAGGAAAGGGGAGTGGGATGGAAGGGGAGGAAGAAGTCACACCATTTGAAGGAGATCCATCCATCCACCTCCTAATGCGGGCAAATTTCTGTTTCTTTTTTCTTCTTTCTTTCTTTCTTTCTTTCTTTCTTTCTTTCTTTCTTTCTTTCTTTCTTTCTTTCTTTCTTTTTCTTCTTTTTCTTTTTCTTTTTCTTTCTTTTTTAAATTAAATATTCTACCTGCATGTGTGCCTGCACACCAGAAGAGGGCATCAGATCTCATTATAGATGGTTGTGAGCCACCATGTGGTTGCTGGGAACTGAACTCAGGAGCTCTGGAAGAGCAGACCTCTGAGCCATCTCTCCTGCCCCCACATTTCTGTTTCTTAAGGTAGCAGTATTTCTATGATCTGGTCTGCAACATTTTTTGTTTGTTGTTTGTTTCTCTTCCTGCCCTCTGTGCTAACTAGTGAATACAGTTTCTTTCAGACTTCATGAAAGCTGTCCATGCAATAAAGAACTCCCCTGAATTTCAAGTCTTAGCATTTGGAGGAGCTGATGCTTGCAGGAAAATGTTACAAAATTCCATTAACTTTAAAGGTCCTGTGTTGGTACTAACAGCTTCATTGTCCTTTGCTAAAACAGCTTGTGAAAAGCACACTCTAGGTCTATTTAGCTTTTTTATTTGACTTGTTGTTCAAATAACACGTATTTATGAAGTTACAGAAGCTCAGCACACTGCTGGAGTAATTCGAGAATTGTTACTCACGTGTCTGCAGGCAGAACCACAGCAGGAACCTCTCTGCAAGTGGGCCAGCCTTGTGAGAACCACATAGCCAGTAGCTGGGTCCACATAGCTCAGCTGCCCAGCCTGAAAACAATAAAACAATGCATTAATCTTTGTTAATGTTCATCATATCTCCCTAGTAATATTTTTAGTCCAAACTACTGTTAAAAAAAGAATATTAAATTTCTTTCCCAGTAATTGTAGTGGCATTTGCAATTAAGGAGTGAATGCATTTCAATGTTATATACCATTTAACTATATGTGATTAAAGGGGAAAACATATAGTTTGAGTAAAATGAGAAGCTGATGGAAAAACAAGAACTCCTCTGTACCCAATAACTATGTGGGCACTGCTCTGATATTTTTCATTCCGCCTCCAGGTAACAAGCTTAGGAACAGGTGATTTAGATGAGTTTAAGAGCTTAAGTGGCTGGAAATGAACTACACTCAGAAGTCACAGTTACAATTTCAGTACTTACAGTATGTGGACAATGATTTAAACTCACAGAAAAGGTGCTAATCAAAGCCAAACAGCCCTCACAGAACAGCACTGCCTTTGTGATTATTGAACACTTTCTATACCGTCATGATCTGTTACACCACTGCCAGGGCCACGCTATTTTCCTGTCCTCTCCCTCACCAGTGTTGTTAGTTCTAGTCTTAACTGAAAAAAAGTATTGCTTTGCCACATTAACACTGACTGGTTTAACAAGCTTGATCAAAAGCAACTTCCAGTATACCAGTTCAAATGTCAGGGAAATATTTTCCACCTATATCCAATTGTGATTTAAAAAATGAAGCCTCCAAAACACTTTATGTGACAGGAAAGGTAAGTTGTAACGTCTCTGGACTTGTATGGCTTTAATGATGTTTCTTAGCCTCCCGATTTTATAGAATTTCCCTATAGGCTTTTATATAACACATTCATCATTAGTAACTCAGTGTGCCACTCTTGCATATAGACTTTTCATTAGAATATGAATGAAGATCTAGAATACATTTTTCCTTTCCTTTGTTTTTTGGCATGGATCTCACTATGTAGTCCAGGCTGGCCTCAAGCTTACAGCAACCTGCCTGCCTGGGATGAAAGGCATGCACCAGTACTACCAGCTACAGAATGCATTCTTTAATTAGTCTTGAACAACTTCAGCTGTTCAGTGTTGTATTTAATGATGTCACTCATTATGGTTGACATTTAGGACACCTCACTTTGGCTCAAGTCTGGGCTCACTCTAAGGCATCCCTGCACTGATAGATCAGGGCAGTCAGAATCCAGGAAATCCAGTGTTGGTCTCACGGGCCTCCCAAATCCTGGGGCCATAGATACACTCAACACTGCTTTAGAAGGACCACTGTCAGGACCTCCCTTTTTTTTTCCCTCTTCACCCTCCCCAACAAAGCTCATGTTTGAAGACCTGAAAGGCAAATAAACAAACACTGTGAAGTCTTTCATAGTCTTCGTTTTTCTTAGCTTCTGTGTGTTTTCCGGGGACAAGTATCTGGCAACCTGGAAGGCTAATGGTTCGCTCCTGCATACATACTCCCCTGCTCTCCACGTGGAGGGTGACGGCCTACACATACAGTTTGCCCTCTTTAGGTGAGCCTCAGATATTGATGGCAACAAAGATGAGGCAAGTGTGCTGACAGTTTGACTGGAGAGCAAGACAGCCACTGATGCCCAGCAGAAGCAGGAGAAAAAGGTAAGGCGGCCATCTGGTTGGACACATGGAAAATGCTGTTGTTTGGGTGCTCTTGTTTGTGGAAAAGAGAAATGCCAGGCTTATTTTGGGGTTTGCTTATGGTCTGGACATTCATGTAACCTGTGAAACCCACACTGATGAAAAAGTTGTGGGTTCCCCAGTGGAAGGCAGTCCCCTATCCCATGTTGATTGAACCAGTCTTTATATGCTACTGTTGGTTACTCTGAAAATTATGAGGCTTCTTGCTTTTATCCACCATATTTGTACGGTGACTTGGGAAAACAAACTGCACGTGTTAAATTTAAAATAAGAGCATAAGCAAGAATTGCCCAGTGCTGCCAATAAGCTCTTGATGAATCTTCATTCACTTTCAACACATGAAAGGGTCAGACAGTGGATTCTCAGGGCCTACTATAGTCAAGGGAAAGAGCATCAATCTTAGGAAAGGTTCAAGGTTTTCCTCTTTACCTCTGTGGCTCAAGCCAAACCAAATAATACTCAGTGGTCTTATCAAGTACTAGCCAAACACAGAGCTTAATATACAGGTTTATTACAAATCATGTTTCTATCATTATAGAAGTTAAAATATAAATAATGCTATCTTCAAACTCCTGTAGTCTGAGGTGTAACGATACTGAAGGGAGATAAAGTTAGATATTGGTGGTGACAAGCAACTGTCAAATCCATAAACCAGAAGAAAAGTTTATTCTCGAATGCCTGGAGGAAAAATGCAAACCTGCCGGATTGTAATTTCCTCTGCTCACTTGGACTGGAGACAAAGGATGAGAGGACATGGGGCAAAAATGTAGAGTCTGTCTTATGTTTTCATTATTAAAGTCACTGGACGGCAGGCTGCTCAAGCTATCATGTACAGGCAGCATGTCTGTACAACATACTTTTCCTGTAACTGCTCAGTCCTTCCACCTTCAGTTCTTTAACAGTCCCATTTCTCCACCCAACACACTCACACACAGGAGGGCGCGCACACACACAAACCCCGAGACAAGCCTCTGGCTGGGACACAGATCAGAACTGACACCTCCATCCGGAACGCAAAAGTGCGGCCAGGCTTCTCGCAGGACCCTCCCAGAGAGCGCACGGGGCCGGCCGCCCGAGGCCGGGGGTGTCGGAACGCCCCTGGGTTCCAGGGGCCGGTCACGCGCAGGCGCAGAGGCCGCGGGGCAGGCCGGAGCGGGCCTCACCGCGCAGGCGGCCCGGTGCAGCTCGGCGATGTGCCTCTCGGCCGCGGTTAACTCTTGGCTCGCCGGAAGCCTCGGGTCTCCCTCGGAAGCCGAGCGGAGGGCGGAGCTGATCAGCTGTCGGAAACTTTTGGCCCTAGGCAGTGGCCTCCCGGGCGCGGCTCTGGCTAGCGCCCGGAAACCCCGCGCAGCCATGGCCCCGCCGCGCTGGGAGGCGGAGGGCGGTGGCGGTGGGCGGGGCCGGGCCGAGGGGGCGGGGCGGAGGGGGAGGCGGAGCACTGGCCCTCGGTCTCCAGCTTCCTCTACCTGGCCGTGTTGTGGAGAAAAACCTGCACGCGAGGACTGGAAGAAGGTGCCTTCCCTGTTCTTAAATTCCCTGCCGTCTTCTCTTCAAAACTAAGGCGAGTGTTTTAATTTCCCGTCCGGCTAGGTCATATTCAGCATCATCATACCCGTTTAAAAAAAAAAAAAAATAGGAAGCACCTTCAGCCCATATAGAAAAGGTTGGGTGTTTTCTGGTCATGTGTGAGGGGAATAAAGCTGGAAGCAGTAGCTTGGTGACTTGGTTCATTGTCTCGCCCTCGAATGAAAGTCAAGGAAAAGTTTCACACTAAGGGTGCTGTTTTCATGTAGCGAAGTTTCCACAAAATCAAATCTAAAATCCTGTCCGAAACAGTGACACGTGTACTCCCACAAAGTTAATTTGGGGAATTTAGCAGAAGCCCAGGAGATAATTTCATGTGTTCATTAAATTAACACCACCCCTAGGCCTGCATCCCGCAGTCTGAATTTCAAGAGAGGGGTTATTATTGAGTAGTTTTGCTAAAGCTCTTCGGTGTGAAGAAGTAAGGGCAGGAGTGGATCCTTGACAGCAAAAGTGGATTAGTTGGACAGGAGAAAGGTCTCTAAGACACCACAGAGTGTCGCAACTCCTTTTTTACAGTAGCTACATTTACAACGTAGCCCTGAATTCACAGCTTGATCTTAGTCACACATTGCAACAACTCTATTGTTGTATTGTAAATCTCAATGAATCAATAAGTTGGAATCCTGTATTCAAACATTCATATACATTTGAGATTTTGGGACTGACTGTCCTGTAATCTGAGCAACCCTAAGGAAATCTGGATGGGTGGGACCAAGGTTAAACTCACCTGAAATACGTTTAAATTGGGTTCCCGTTTTATCCCCAAACACCTCAAAATTAAATTTATCTGCTCAGGTTTATTGTACTGCAATTTAAAATCGAGGATCAAGATGTCAACATAATATCAACTCAAAAGATGGAGACCACATTTTACAGAAATGGAAAAGACTGGGTGGAAATAGAAACCACAGAAGAGCAGTTCCTCTGTCTAGGAAGAAAAACTGTTACCCTGCTTCAGAAGAGAGGAGTGAGTGAGCATGAGAGATCTTTGCATGAACATAATAGCTCCTCCTATTGGCTGTGAAGTTTACACAAATTTACATGTGGGAAGATAGCACAGAGCTGTACACACAGTGTTCCAACACTTGGAATTCACACTGTTGGTTTTCATATTGTAGTGCATGAAGGATGTAAGCATTGAAGGAAATTTGGTGGAGGGCATATATAGACTTTCTCCAAATATTTAAAACTTATGAATCCAAAATTATTTACAATGTAGAACAGTAATAAATTAGATAAAAAATGTTTTCCAGGTTACTGAATACACAGAACCTTTCTTCAATATCTCCTTTCTTCCCAGTTTTAACAATCATGCAGGTGTGGTGCTCAAGAGATAGAGACATGAGTATTATAAGGTTGTGGCCCGCCTGGGTTCCAGACATAACAAGATTCAGTCTAAGAAAAAGAGGAATAATCATCCTGATTAGTCTGTGCCCCTGCACACAAGCTGAAGATGCTCTTGTGTTCATCACATGTTCCCGCTGTGGGCATTCTTACAGATGCATCCTTAAGTACCAAAGCTGAAGACATAATTAAAAGAGATGAGAAAATATCTCATAATAATCCCTAAGTATTTTGGTAGTTTAGTTATGACATCATTTAGACACTGAGTAAATATCTGTCTTCAAGTTTCATTTGATTTCCATATCAAATCACCCTTCCTTGTGTCACTTGTTTTGAAAGGCCCCTGCTGGGACTGACTTTCAATTCATTCTTGTGTGTGCTTTCCTTTTCAGATTCTCTCAATTCATATTAGCCAAAACTGTTTGAAAGTGAGAGCATCAAGTCCAACCTCAGATGATAGAGTTGGCATCTGAATGAGAATGATCCCCGTGGACTCCTGTGTTTGGACACTTGGTGCGCAGTTGGTGGAGCTATTTGGGAAAGAGTAGTTGACCAATACAAAATAGATTCAATGGTATTTTTGTACACTTTTTCTTTTGTTTTGTTTTTTTTTTTTCTTATACAACTATCTCATTATTCTTTTACCTGTCTGTTTTGATTTTCATTTTTGTGGGGGTTTCTTGATTTTTGTGTTTTTGTTTGGATAGCAAGGAGCGTAAAGTTGGGTAAACAAGGAGGTGAGGGAGAGCTGGAAGGAGTTAGGGGAAGGGAAACATGATAAAAATATACTATATAATTTTTTTTTAATTCTTGCTTCCAATAAAAAGAGCACCAGAGCCTTAGAGTATAGACACTGAGGCAGTTTATTTTACAACTTTGTGAAGTCTGACATCAGTCCAGAAGGGCAGGAGTGTACTGACTGATTGCAGAGAACTGAGGACAGGCAGTTTTAAACCACAGTGAAAGCAAAGCCCCTTTCTTCCTGTCTTCTGTGGCTGAAGACAATCTTACTGGTCATTTGTGTCCTGTGTTTCTTTCTTTCACTTACCTTTGACTCTTCCTCAAGAAAACACCCAACCCAGGCGTCATCTCTACATTTTCTATACTTTTGATTTCTTTTTTTTTTATTATTCATTCAGTTTACATCTCTGTTATAGAACCCTCCCTGCCTCCTCTCCTAATCCCACCTTCCCTCCTACATCCCTTCTCCCCTATTCTTCAGAATAGGGGAACCCCCCCCCCTACCCAGATACCCCAGCTCATCTATTTATGTGAAGACTGAGTTCTTCCTCCCCTGTAGCCTGGAAGGGAAGTCCCATCAGAGGGAAGTGACCAGAAAGCAGGCAACATAGTCTGTGTCAGAGATATCCCCACTCCCCTAACTAGTGAGCCCACATGAAGCTTAAGATTCACGTCAGACTTATCTTCTTGGGGTCTGTGCACTGTAGTATGCCTATCCTGTACTATATGACTAAACTCTGCTTATAAGTGAGTGTATGCCATGTGTGTCTTTCTGGGTCTGTTACCTCACTCAGGATGATCTTTTCTAGTTCGACTATCAGATAGGTGACCTTGTAGGCAAGCTTGGCTATTAGAACTTTTTTATTCTAACTTAGTTTTTGAATGTGGAAAATTTAGCAGAGTTTGGACGAGTGGGGTGTAGCTACATTGTCAGGCTTTAGAAAGGGTCTAGTATTTTCTGGCTTGAGGCATCTCTGAAAATGGGCCATCAGATTTTATTTATTATAATCAGCATCATGTTTATTCCTAAATCATCTTATGAGAACAGATTCCACTTAATCCAATCAGGGTTAATCTGGACCTGCCTGTGAATAACCCACCCATCTCTGTCTCAAAGTGGACTTTATTAATGTTAGAGGCACAATTAACAAATATCTGCTATGTGTGGCTTCCAAAAGCAAAATAAAATTTTCAGCCCACCCAGAGATTGTAGTGCTTAAATTTTCATGTTAAAAATGTTTTAAATTGGGCTGGAGAGATGGCTCAGTGGTTAAGAGCACTGGCTACCCTTCCAGAGTTCCTGAGTTCAGTTCCCAGCACCCACATGTTGGCTCACAACCGTCTATGATGGTATCCAATGCTCTGTTCTGTAGCGCACATGTACATGCCCCCAAAGCTCTCATATACATAAAGAAATATATTTTAGAAATGTTTTAAATTGTCCCTCTAGTTGACCCTGGTTGTCTTTCCTTGGCACCTCACAGTTATACATGTCCTTCGAGTTTTTGGCATTGTAGCCCCAGAATACTACAAGCAATAGAGAACATGCCCTTTCCATCTCGACCGCCCATCATTCTACCTTGTGTGACTATGAAACACAGTAGTCACTAGAAAACTTGTGACTGCATAAATAAGTCATTGTGTGTCTTTCTCTACATGCCGCCTGAAATTATAAGTTTCTATATATGATATTACATATTTGAACAAATAGCTATTACTTGTAACTAAATGTCTCTTAAAAACCTGAGTAAGATGATAAGCTAAATTTGAAAAGTTACTAAATAAATGGGTCATGTCGGTAACAGTGCACATGGGTAACTTATCATGGGTCTGGTCTGAGCCCCTAAATTGCTGCCTCATCAACTTGTTAGTTTGTTTGTTTGTTTGTTTTTATTTTTGAGACAGGGTTTCTCTCTGTAGCGTTGGCTCTCCTGGACTTCCTTTGTAGACCTGGCGGGCCTCAAACTCACAGAGATCCACCTGCCTCTGCCTCCCTATGTGCTGGGATTACAGGTGTGTGCCACCACGCTCGGCTCAAGTGATGTTTTTAATTGTGAAGTTACTGAGCTGTGGGTGGACAATTAGTGCTGGAACCACCGAGCAAACGACACACTTTTATCTCTGTGCTGCCGGTTGCATTCATTCATGTTGGATAAGTTATGACATGCCATGCTGCATGCTGCATGCATCTTCACTGTCCATTCCTGTGATTGAGAGCAAATGTTACATGCCCCTAAGGTTGCCTATGGAGAATTTATATCTCTTTTTTTTTCCTTTTTCCCATTTAATGAGACATTGAGTAGCACACATTTTTTTTTTTTTTTAATGGAACTGGTCTTAGAAAATTCTTCAGGGAATTCTAACTATTTCTATTTGCAAGGGTCGCATGCCTGGAGCACTGCTGCACTTGACTCTCATCCTGTTTGGCTCTTGTTCGCCTGGACACAGGGAGATGGGCCACATAACATAGAGGAATCTCACTGTTTCATCTCCCTGTCCCGTCCTCTCGCTCGACTGTTGTAATGAAGAGCAGTCTAGCATCTACCCCATTGCCTGCTTCTGGTCTCTCAAATGACTTGACTGGTCAATCCGGTACACTCACGCAGTTCCCACTTGACTGAGAGATCCTGAACTCTCCACATGAGCTCCCAGGAGAATCGTCAGCAGGTGCTGCCAGTTTTGTTTGTGTGACATCTTTGTAC